AACATATGTTTTTTCATTGTTCTATACAGTGGTGCCTCGCAAGACGAAAAGAATCCGTTCCGCGAGTCTCTTCGTCTTGCGGGTTTTTTCGTCTTGCGAAGCAAGCCCATTAGCGGTTTAGCGGATTAGCGCTACAGTATTAGCGGCTTAGCGGGCTTAGCAGATCAGCTGATAAGCGGCTTAGCAATCAGCTGTTAAGCGGCTTAAAGATCAGCTGATAAGCGGCTTAACGATCAGCTGATAAGCGGCTTAGCGATCAGCTGTTAAGCGGCTTAGCCATCAGCTGATAAGCGGTTTAGCGGCTTGGGAAAAGGGGGGAAGGGGAAAACCCGCAGGAACTCGCAAGACATTTTCGTCTTGCGAAGCAAGCACATAGGAAATTTGTTTTGCGAAGCACCTCCAAAACGGAAAACCCTTTCGTCTAGCGGGTTTTCCGTCTTGCGAGGCATTCGTCTTGCGGGGCACCACTGTATTGAAAGATTTTTGGCAGAAGGTAACTGAAGCCATCAATAGAACTGTATGGAACACAATATCCTCTTGAATTATATACCCAGCACATGAATGTGCCAGCTCCGATGGCTTTTAAAGAGGATTACGGAAATTAATTGGGGTAGATGCTATCAGTGGCTACTAGCCACCATATGTTTAGGTTCTGCTTCCACTGTCAGAGGCTGTATGCCTCAGAATGTCCAATGCTGGGAATTGCAGGTCAGGAAGAGAGCTCTTCCCCCCAGATCCTCCCTTCAGGCTCCCTATAGGCATCTGGTTGGCCACTGTGAGAACAGTATGCTGAACTGGATGTTGGCCTGGTCCAGGAGGCTTTTCTTATGTCATCATTGGCAAGCCTAGGTGCTGCTACAAATGTTTAGCTTATCCGCAAAGAGATGATATTTTGAACATCTTGCAGCCATCATCTTAGGTAATCTCTTAGTACCTCCTACCTGGTTGATACTGCCAGCAGCATATGTTTGTCTCAAATATTAAGTCATGCGTGTCTAAATATACACAAGCATTACAGCGAAACTCCAAATGGCTCATTAAATCAGTTATGATTCCTTTGGCCTTGGCTAATCTGGTCCCCTTCCCCCCTCCCAAATTAATTAATACATGGGTGTTTCAGACCACCAAACTCATCGCTAGTGGATTTGCTTTGAAACCCCTTTTCATGAGTTGATATTTATTGTGTTAAGCTAAGTGTCAATTATGTGAGCCAGAGAAAGGGTGCAGGGAAAGAATTGTTTTTGCACAATAAACCATTAATAACAGTAATAACAAAACCAGCTGTGTCTGGTCACCATTTCTCATTTCATAGGGTAAAATTAAAAAACATGGACCACTTTTTAAAAAGAGAGAATATCACACAGCCTGCAGCATCACATAGGTACATTTTTTATCTTTCCTTTTTACAGCGAACTAGCTTGGGACTCTTTCTAACAGGAAAAGGTCTGACCTCTTTTTTCTTTGTGAATATGATTAATTTATCACCCACCAACATAACTGTAGAGCTAGAATATGTGTCCCTGAGCAAGAAAAATCCTTGCTGTTGATTTTTGCACAATTTCAGTTCACGTCCCCTGTAGAAACATTCCCTCAGATGCAGGATTGTCTGTATTGTATCGCATTTTAAAAAATGATACATCCAGTTCCTTCAGAAAGAAAGGAATGTCTGCAAAAGATGTAGAGAACACAATGAAGCACATACCCTGACTGAAGTATTTCTGCATCTATGACAAACGTCTGAAGGAACTGGATCAAGCAATCCTTTTAAAGTTCAGATGCTGAAACTGATTTTTTCATCAACCTACTAAGCCAAATAATCATTATAATTTCTCTACTTCATATGCCCAACATTATCTAAATAGCACAGAGTACACTGGGCTGGGCTGATTGGTTCTAAAAGAAACAGTGTATAGAAACAGGAAAAGAAAGTGACAAGAACACAATAATGAGAAATTCCAAGGTGACATTGTGCTTGTGAGATAGTACCATTAGGGTGAAATAGATTTGGAATCTGTCTAGATTGACAGGAGAGCCAGTGAGATGCATTGGGTAAAATCCTAGAGTCTGAGTAGGGAAACCCAAATTCAGATATTCACTTTGGGCCAATCCACAAGTTACAGCGACATTGTAATTTCACATTGGATCAATAAAAACAGAAGCTGGAATTGAAACGTTTCCCTCACTATGAGCGAGGGTCGCAGAAGAACAGGATGCAGCAGCCCTTTCCCTTTTGCCATCACTCAAATGCGTCACCAACACTTCCCTCTGTAAACTTCCTTTCAGGCCAGACTGTGGGCTCTGAGCACTGTTTAGACAAGCCAAAAGAGGAAATTATTCTGTCCATTTCTCACTGGCTACCAGATGAGAGCTGTGGAGAACAATGGGATGATTCTGACTGAGACAGAGCGAGTGAAGAGCAGACATGACGGAATAGATTCAGTGTGGCATCTCAGGATTAAAGAATGAACTTTTGAGCTATGTAGTAGTGAATCATAATCTCAGCTGACAGAGTCTTCCGGAAGTTTACATAAAACCATTAAAGAAAGAAGGGGGGGTGGAGGTGCAGAGGAAACGGGGTTGTATCCAACGATGATTCACTCACAATGTTAAAATTAATGGATTCAAATTAGTCATGTACATTATTTTCAATCTGTCTGCTCTGAGTAGGGCTAGCACTGGATACAACCCAGGTTGTTATGAAGGTAATGTTGTACAATTGTGCAATTACATATTGTGGCCAGAAGTCGCCTCTGTTACATGCCATCCCAGTCTCCGAAGGTGTTAGATTCCAGGGTACCAGGTGTGTTTACCACGGTCTGTGTTTCCTTTTGGAACAATGAGGCATTGTGGAGACTGTTGTGTCTTTATGATATATGGTTTATTTACACGTAGATACAATCTGTGCCTAGATTGAGAGAGTGCAGAGCATTCACAGCCCAAAAGGTCCTGTTCCTTTAACTGCTGCAGCCTCAGATTCCAAGCAACTCCAAACATTGTTTCTGACCCTCTCTGTGGCATAAAACAGACTGCCCACCTCATGCTCTGCCCCCTCCTCCAGCGGCATTAGCCACTCCTCCAAGTTTGGTGTCATCTGCATTCACGGGTCATTCCTTCACCTGTGTGAAGACGCTGAACAGCAATGGGCCCAGGACAAAGCCCTGCAGTAGCTCAGTGGAGCTTTGCTTTCATTCACATGTTATGTTCATGATGGGGAACCTGTGACTCTCCAGATGTTGCTCCACTACATCTCCCATCATCCCTGAACATTGGCCACACTGCCTGGAGCTGATGGGACTTGGAGTCTGACAACAGCCTAGTATGCTGAGGTTGAGCTGTAGAAGGTTCAGATTCAAATTTTGGCTTGGCTCGGCTCAAGAGAGCAGCAACTCTTCACCACAAAAGTTGTCAAAATGAAATGTATTTATTGTACATAACCTTCAGTCCCTTGTGGGGAGAAATCAAAACTGGCCAGAAATTAAAATAGTGAAAATAAGTAAAGACTAAAGTGAGGTATAAAAAGAGAGATGCATATCTCTTTAAGGAAAGATGAATGCCCTGGTTTGTCTGGGTGCATTTGTGTGTGCCTCTGAACAGAAATGTGGTCCTTAACACACCAGAAAAGGACTTCCTGTGTTTTATTCTTCTCTGGCAACCTAAGATGGCTACACTGAACAGAATAAAATGATTTTTAAAAAGAGGGGAAAGCATTCCAGAGTGTTTTCGTGCACACACAAAATGGCAATCTGCAGCAGAGCACAGAAGCATATCATGGCCAGCAGAGGACTCCCAAGCCACAGTCACAGTGGGGGAATTCCTTCAGCGAGATCCAGCAGCAGAGAAGGGAATGGGTTTACTGCAGCAAAGGAAGAAAAGCAAAGAAAGTAAAGAAAGAAAGTTGGGAAGCTGAGAGGAAGAATGACAAGAGCATGGGTGCTGCAGTTGGAACTTGCAACTTTCAAGCCAGGGCAGAAATTCAGGAAGATTTCCAGTTCTTTTAAAGACAAAACCACACATAGTGGTCCCAGTTCACAACTGTAGGATGCATTCCTGGCAAAGTTTTTCCTTTTTCTTTAATAATATCAGCACATCAGCATCAGGTAAGTAACTATCTGGCTATGTTGACTGTCATCTCCATCACTTGTGTGTATATAGGGATAGAGAGCCACTATGGACCGAAGTCTCCCCCAGCACATGTGGAGACTGCAGATGATACCCCAAATAAATATTGTAAGCATGACTCCTCATGGCCTTCTCCAAAACCCTGTCGCCAAAATGTATCTAAAAATAATTGTTGAAAGTGAATGTGGAGGTTCCCATCAGGCAAAACCCCTGAGAACTTTCATATGGATCAAGAAGAATATCAAGAAGACTAGTAAAATTTCTCAGGGGTGGGGTTACCACATAACACTATCCTAAACTGATTGTGATGGTGTAGAGTAGAACTTTGGTAGAATGCATCTGTTCCTCTCATTGTTAACACTGAGTTGGAATTTAAAAGCCTTCCTGTTCACCTGGACATTTGACGATGGCTAAAATATATTTCTCCTGAAAACCTTGAAATGACTAAGCTGTGGGTATATTTGATTTTCTTTAAATGTTTTCAAAGTCCTTGTACTGTTTTCGCAGTTTTGCTGTTTGCCCCCTTGGTTTTCTTTGGGAAGAAGGGAGATAAAACAGTATAATGGATATATTATAATATCATATAAAGCTGGGCTGTGGCACACAGGCTAAATCTCTGCACGGCACCCATCAGGTCCCGTAATTAGGACCAGCTTTGCACTTGATTCCTAGTCAAAGCAGAGAGGCATTTGCCCCAGGCATCTGATGCTGTGGGGCGGGCTTGGAAGTAGTGGCAAGGAGAACAGAGCTGCGTATGTCCATGTGGTCAGCCTTGCCTCCCCTAAGTTCCCCTGCTGCCTTTCATAGAATTGTGGGATTTGGGAGGGACTCTGGGGGTCATCTAGTCCAATGCCCTGCAATGCAGGAATCCTGCCCACAGTTGTCCCTGAGTGGGTTCGAACCACCAATCTTCTGGTTAACAGCTAGGCACACTGACCCATCGCGCCACTTGGGCCTGGTGGGAGATTCTGCCTGTCACCAGCAGTGAGGTAAGCTTCAGCTGCCGGTCCAGTCGGCTTCTGTATATGGGGGTGATGATGCCTTCTTGGCCTGCATCTCAGTCAGGAAAATGTCTTGGGCCTGCACGTGCCCCAGGTGAAAGAAGAAGGAAGTGGCAATTGTGATCTCAGTATTCACCCACCCACAACATCATGGGTCTGGTGTGGATATTACACACACACACACACTCGCCACCCACACACCATTGCCAGGATGGCCTGCAGCTGTTTCTATCTGTTCTCAAATGGACGCATGGCAGGGTAATTCAGGCTATTTCAAAAATTCAACCAGCTGAAAATGCAACCCTTGAAAATTTGCCCCTCCCCAAAGGCAGTTGATCTAGAATCAAAAGCTGTGTTTACAATGCCAACGATGCTCCATCAACATGCACATTGCCAGTAGCAGAAGCATATCCCAGCATCTGGCTTCTTTCGTGTTGTCCTTTCCCATTCTTTGAACGCCGTTTGCTATTTCACATACAAATTGAAGTGCCTAATCTTATGATACAGTTAAATATTCGTGACATTATTCTTTTTTTCTTTTTTTTTGGTAAACCAATATGTGGATGTGAAAAGACATGGAGTGAAAGAATGTCAGCCGAATCGGAATATTTGTCGTGCTGTGCGTTCTCCTAAGAGTTGAGTTGTGTGCTAATGATTTTTAACATCTCAGTTTTCCCTACCATCAATTATTTGCTGAAAGCCATCCAGATTGGCTTGTACATGCCATTGTGTGTGCAGCATGGAAACATGAATTAAAACTGTCAGTCTTTTGATCTGCATGCCAGCTCAACAGTGTAAATGCTTATTGTAAGTACTTATAAAGACCTCTCTGTGTTCTTCAGAGAACCAATTTTTTTTTGCCCCTGTGCCTGTTTTTATCATTTTTCCCTCTAACACTCCTTTTAAAAAATGACATTTATTTGTCAGTAGGAGAAATAATCTTGTCAGATGTAGTTCTTAATTATAGATTCTGAGCTATGTGTTTTATTCCTCACTTCAGGATACAATCAAACAGCAAAGAAACCATGTGTAATATAAATTAACTATTAGCTTCAGCATCTTTTAAATCCTCTGCAATTACTATTAAATCTCTTTTTCACTTGAGGGTGGTGGTTTGCTAAATTTTATGGCTGTGATTTGTGCTCAGCAACCACTTTTTAAAAAATGAGAAAAAGTATTTTATTATCATAATGCATTTGCCCCCACAAAACACATTCTGGTCTTGCGTTATTACATTGAATATTCCACCACAGAATAAATGGAAGGCATTTTCCAGCAAGTTTCATGGTTCCTCCTAAGCCATTCCTTCATCACACTTCATCTGTCGCTTTATCCATCTCAGCGATATCTAGAACTGAACTGAACCATCTTCCCCATGATGAGATAATACAATTTTTCACAGCAGCTAAAAGATTGTGCAACATTAATAGCCCCTTGAAAGTCCTCTTCCAAATAATTCAGAAAGAACATCGCCACACCAGAGCTTAGCCTTATATTTGCTTTTCGAAACATTAGCCCTACAACTTGAGTCCAATAAACATGAACACATCTCACCAAACGAGATTAAAAAACAACCCTGCTTGATAGTTACAGCATCTTCAAGGGAACCTATTTACCAGGGTGGCTAACCTGTGGTTCTCTAGCTGTTGCTGAACTACAGTTTCCATAACCTCTGACCATTGTCCATGCTGGCTTGGCCTGATGGGAGTTGTAGCTGGCGGCATATGGAGGCCAACAGGGTAGCAACCCCTGTGATGCTCAGCCTGGACAGTTGGGGCAACTGAAAACCACAGGTGGGGAGCATTCTCTTGCACTTGGCTCCTACAGGCATCTGGTTGGTACTATGAGAACAGGATGGTGGACTAGATGAGTCATTGGCCTGATTCACGAGGCTCTTATGTTCTAATACTATAAACTAATAGCAAACTCAGAAGTTACTCCCACGTGTAGAATTTTACCTGTAGAATGCCCTTTTCAGGCAGCTCACCTGTTGCCAGCCTGATCTCTTTTCAGCACTGGGCAAGGACCATTTGAGTTGCCCATTTGTATCACCTGAGCTGGCTTTGTTGTTACTGAATATTTCTTTATCACTCTGCTGGTTTTCAAACTTGGGCTGTTTCATTAGCTGGACTGTGGCCTTGAATCCTGACTCAGATTCTGAAAAGAGCATTAGGGTGCCACCAATGAAAATGAGAAAACATTAATCTGTTGGTGCATTTTCAGAGATCCATCTTCTGATCCAGAAATGGTCTGTCCATTCCAAAGTTCTGCAGGGTCCCAATGTGCACATGGAACTCTGTTCAGTGATGTGTCATGCAGTGTCCTATGTGTGTACCACCATTGTATCTTAAGAGCTTTCTCCAGCTTTGAATGGCACCATGCAGCCTGTATTTGCCTAGAGCTCCCTATTGCACTGAAATCCTACATGTCCAAACAGAATATTTTGAAAAACATCAGCGATACATTTTTCAAAATATGCACTTGCCTATTAAGAACTGGCTATTCTGGGATCTTCATGTTAATTTATCTGGTTCCCCCTCCCAAATAATATTCCAAGCCAGAACAGCAGGTACTAAATAGTTTTCAAAATCCTTGCCTTGGACACTATACTATTTTGCCTTTTATAGGAAAAGTAGAGTACCCAAAAATGCAGTTCGATTATGAATGCTGTCTCTTGCTCAGTTTATTGCAAGAGAAATGAGGTCTGGTAGTTCTGTTTAATACAAAATTCTCTTGTAATTCCGTCGGCCAACTTCTTTTGATCCCAAAGATAACTTGCTCTGGAACATTTCAGGAGAAGAGAGGAGAATGGCTCTCTTTTTTTGGAAAATTCAAAAGCTAAACAGGGTGAAAGTATCCCTCAGCAGTTTCTATTCTTCTATCACAGTGGGCCATGATTCACTAAGATTTCATGTGCTGGTGAATCACTCAGGAAACCAGCCTCTTCTGAGTACTGTATATAAAATTGTTTTAGTGGTGTTTCTTGTCCAAATTTAAACAAAGAGAATACAAACGATCTTCATAAGATCTGGAGTGTATAATTGCATGTCCGATTCATAAGGTGGGCTTTCCATTTTGAAAGTTTTAATAAACTTGCAAAAATTGGGCTTGTAGCTCAGTCATCATCATCATCATCATCATCATCATAATTTGTACCCCACCCATCTGACTGGGTTGCCCCAGCCACTCTGGGCAGCTTCCAACATATATAAAAACATAATAAAACAACAAACCTTAAAAAGCTTCCCTATACAGGGCTGCCTTCAGATGCCTTCAATGGATCCAAAGAGCTATTCAAAGGCTTGCAATCTTCCTCTGACCCTTTTGAATGGCAGATCCCTGATGCCATATCGCAAACTGCTTTTGAAGCTTCCCGCATATTTGAAATACATTTCCATGCAGCGCGGAGGGTCCATTTGCCACGAGCAAAGTGAAGCAAGGTGCCGACTGGCTTTTGAAGATGCTCCTGTTTGCACAGGCATTCCCTTAAATCTCAACCCGACTCTCCTCTTTTAATTGCTCTTTTAGTTTTATAGGATTCTTTTATTGTGCACTTTAATTATGGGTGCTTATAGTTTAATTTTTTAATTGGATTGTTTGTGTGTTTGTGTTTTATTTATGGATGTTTATATTCCAATGTCTATGTAACAGGTTTTTATACTTTGTAAACCACTTAGAAGCCTGTTTTGTGTTAAGCTGTATATAAATTACTGTATTTTTGCTCTATAAGATTCACTTTTTCCCTCCTAAAAAGTAAGGGGAAATGTGTGTGCATCTTATGGAGCGAATGTAGGCTGCGCAGCTATCCCAGAAGCCAGAACAACAAGAGGGATTGCTGCTTTCACTGCGCAGCGATCCCTCTTGCTGTTCTGGCTTCTGAGATTCAGAATATTTTTTTCTTGTTTTCCTCCTCCAAAAACTAGGTGCGTCTTGTGGTCTGGTGCGTCTTATAGAGCGAAAAATACGGTAATTAATACACAACATTATTATTTTACTACTACCAAAGGGACATTCCTTTTATCTCTTGACTTGAGTCTCCAGTTTTAATTGCTGTGCCGTTTTAATGGGATTACTTTATTGTGTGTTGTAATTATGGGTGCTTGCGTTTTAATGGGAAATATGTTGTGTTAATGCTTATATGTCTGCGTAACTGGGTGTTATACTTTGTAAACTGCCTGGAAGCCTATTTTGACATTTGCAGTACGAAAATAAACAAACAAGGCTGTCTCTGGTGTCAAGGGAAGAGCAGTGGGCTGGCAGTCAGGAGTAGCACCAGGGTGTCAGGGCTGAGGAGCAAAGCCTTGACACCAAAACACACCAGAAGCAAGAAAAACTTTGCTGTTCAGGCAGACCCTCAAGCCAGACAGGAAGACTTGGAAGCTCCAAGTGACCAGCCTAGGTGGCTGAATCCAGTGCATAGCTGAGGAATGCTTCACTGCCCTGGAAAATACGCCAGATGGCAACTGTGGGACATACAGAATCGCGGACTCCAGGGCTAGATCTACATAGCTATTAAAAATGCTCTGAAAACGCCCTGCAAAAAACCGCTGTGAAGCTCACAATTGAAAATATCATCGGGTTGCCATTTCAGCTCTATAGCACCATCTGGTGTCACAGTGTTATAACGCATTTATAACACTGCATTTTGACTAATGTAGCTGAGTCCCGGGTTCCTGGACACTTGCACATCACCCCAAAAGAGGACACATTTGCTCAAAATTTCCAAGTGTATAGATGCAAGTTTAGAAATATCTGCTGCAATTTAGAGAGAAATACAACACATCTCACCATAGTAGGCAAGACTGTGACCAGGTGACCTGTGTGCTTGCTCAATCTGCAGTCCAACTGCTTAATGTTGATAAGACACTTTAAGGCTCTTAACCTCCCTGCTTATGAGTCTTTATCGTTAAACTAAACTTGGACCAGGCAGTCCTTCAAACAGAGAATGGTCTTC